GAGGAGGAGGAGGAGGAGGAGAAGGAGGAAGAGAAGGATAAGGAGGAGGAAGGAGAAGGAGGAGGATGAAGATGAGGATGATGACATGATGATGAGAAGGAGGATGAAGGATGAGGATTAGGAGAATAAGGAGGAAGGAGGAAGGAGGAAGGAGGAGGAGGAGGAGGAAGGAAGAGGGAGGAGGATGAGGATGATGATGATGAGAAGGAGGAGGAGAAGGATAAGGAGGAGGAAGGATGAGGATTAGGAGAATAAGGAGGAAGGAGGAAGGAGGAAGGAGGAGGCTGAGGAGGAGAAGGAGGAGAAGGATGAGGATGAGGAGGAGGAGGAGGAAGGAGAAGGAGGAGGAGGAGGAGGAGGAAGGAGGAGGAGGCTGAGGAGGAGAAGGAGGAGAAGGAGGAGAAGGAGGAGGAGGATGTAGGAGGAGGAGAAGGAAGAGGAGGAGGAGGATGTAGAAGGAGGAAGGAAGGAGAAGGAGGAAAAGGAGAAAATATGATGATGATGAGGAGGAGGAGGAAAAGGATGAAGAGGAGAAGAAATCTCAGTAGGAGGAAGAGGGGGAGACGGAGAAAAAAAAATGAAAATAAGGATGAGAAAGAAAAAGAAGAGGAAGAGGCGGAGAAAGGAGTAGGAGAAAGAGTAGGAGAATAATAAAGAGGATGAGGAAGAAGGGGAAGACAAGGAAGAAAAGGAGGAAAAACACGAGGAGACAGGAAAACGAAAAAGAGGGGGAGTAACATGAATGAACGAAAAAGAACGGGAAGAGGAGAAAGAGACGAAGAATAAGGAGGAGGACGAAAAAGAAGATGAAGAGGAGGAAGAAGAGGAGCAAGAGGACGAGAATGAGAAAGAAGAGGAAGAAGGGGAGGAAAAAAAACGAAACGAGTAAAAAGAGAAATCGGAGAAGGAGAATGAGAATAAATATGAGAACGAAGTAAAAGAAAAAGAAAGAAAGAAAAGAAAAGAAAAAAAAAGAACAGGAAGAAAAGGCAGAACAGCAGGGAGGAGAGAGACACAAAGAAAAAAAAGACAACAAGAACAAGGAGGAAAAAAGAAGAAAGAAGGAACAAGAGAAAGCGCAGAGGAGGCGTCTCGCTCTCCCTCACCTTGTTTGCTGGCACTGGCCCTCTCCCTGGGGTCCCATCGCCGCCCCCTCCCCCCCCCCACGTGATTCCCTCGGCCGTCTCCCCTCATCTCTGCGTGGCTGCTTACCTGTCTCCCCTCGTGGCTGGGCCCTCTCTCTGCCTCTCCCTCACCCCTCACTTCCCCTCTCCTCTCCTCTTCTCTCCTCCCCTTCCTCTCTCCTTCCCTTCCCTTTCCTTCCCTTCTCTTTCCTTCTCTTCTCTTCCTCTCTCCTTCCCTTCCCTTTCCTTCCCTTCTCTTTCCTTCTCTTCTCTTCCCTTTCCTTCCCTTCTCTTTCCTTCTCTTCTCTTCCCTCACCCCTCCCTTCCCTTCTTCTCTCCTCCCCCTCCTCTCGCTTTCCCTTCCTTTCCTCTCTCCTTCCCTTCCCTTCCCTTCCTCTCTCTCCTTCCCTTCCCTTCCCTTCTTCTCTCTCCTTCCCTTCCCTTCCCTTCCTCTCTCCTTCCCTTTCCTTCCCTTCTCTTCTCTTCCCTCACCCCTCCCTTCCATTCTTCTCTCCTCCCCCTCCTCTCTCTTTCCCTTCCTTTCCTCTCTCCTTCCCTTCCCTTCCCTTCCTCTCTCTCCTTCCCTTCCCTTCCCCTCTTCTCTCCTCCCCTTCCTCTCTCCTTCCCTTCCCTTCCCTCGACCTAATTCCTGATCCGTTATTATGCTTTCATTTTTCTCAGTTGCGTTACGTGTTCGTCTGTTCCTGTTTTCCTGGCGACAGAGATCCGCATGCTGTGTCTGATTTTATTTTTTTCTCTCTCTCCCTCCTACATCCTTATTCTTTTCAACCTATATACAGCATATGTATATATATATATATATATATATATATATATATATATATATATATATATATATATATATATATATATATACATATATATATATACACACACATCTAGCACTGTATAAACACAAACACACACACACACACACACACACACACACACACACACACACACACACACACACACACACACACACACACACACATTGTATACAGAACTAGGTAGGTAGATATGCAAATACGTAGAGTATTGATAGATAAACAAATAAGGAGATAGAGCATATATATTGACAGTCGGATAGATAAACAGACAGACAGACAGGTAGATATGTAAGTTGGTAAGCAGACAGAAAAATAAACAGTCGGATAGATAAACAGACAGACAGACAGGTAGATATGTAAGTTGGTAAGCAGACAGAAAAATAAAAAGTCGGATAGATAAACAGACAGACAGACAGGTAGATATGTAAGTTGGTAAGCAGACAGAAAAATAAACAGTCGGATAGATAAACAGACAGACAGACAGGTAGATATGTAAGTTGGTAAGCAGACAGAAAAATAAACAGTCGGATAAACAGATCATACACACAGACATATAAATAAATATATATTGCGTATATAGGCTATATACACCCATTACTAGCACACTAACTCTTCTTCTCCCTCTGTATCCTGCTAATTATCACTCGTGTTTTTTTT